ATATATATGTATATATATATGTATATGTATGTATATATGTGTATGTATATATAGTTTAGCAAATGAAAACTGTGGGCACTCAATAAATTTCTATTTAATGTTACAAATGTAAGACTGCTAGTAGAATTTTTATTTTTATATCACGTTCACAATGACAAAATGATACTAAAGAAACGAAATATGTGCGACGATGGGCAAAATATGAATTATGTTAAAAATAGGTATCTTATACAGTTGGCATTATAATTATACATCCCGCTCATTTCTCGTACCGTCCCTTGAAATACTCAAGTCACGCAAAAGCATTAAAAGCTATCATTAAAACAGCCTTGAAGCACATGTGTAGTCAAAACTGTAATTAAAGCGACAAAAGAATATGACAGTAGGGAGACGCCATTTGTTGTATTCATTTGTTGATTCTACCAACAACATTTTAACACTGTTTTTTTAGCAGTTTACTCTACAAAATACATTTACTCTTAAATCCATAGGATAATAAGCTATTATAAGAATAACGATTATTTGAGTATATAATTGAGTATATATGAACAATACGATATGAAAATAATATAGTCAAGCTTATCTCGAAAAAAGATATATAATGAGAAATAAATATACATATAATACTTCGATAGAAACTATTTTTTTATTAATATTCTATATATCATGAAATTAACTTAATTAATCTATACTATTATTTACACACATATATATAATGCTAATAATGATAATATTTTCAAACATTTCTCTCAGTGTTAATACAATACATATTATCCACGTGTATGTGGAAATTTGGACTAGTAAATCATCGCACTAAGTGCAGACTTGTGCGAGCTGTTTTATAATAAATTTTTAACGTACCGTGAACCCTTCGTAGTTCAGGACCCCTCTGTTAGTCCCGCAAGGCTTCGGGATTTCAGTCGATCGAATAAACGAATAAAGCCATCTCCTACTATATATGATTCTTCGGATACCAATGAAACTGACCTGTACAAAGATTGACCTTTTTTTATATATATTATGTCTTTACTTATTTAATATACGTTGATCGCCTTTCATAGATAAAAAAATTATAATATATACTAATATTTTATTATGCAAATTTTTTTGGATAATTCTTACGAATGGCGTCAGGATCTGACAGGTCAGTCTACTTGTAAGCTTCACATGAACCGCACAGTAAACAGTTTATTCCGTTAGTGAGTAATATCGGCTATTTCGCCTTTACACTCAATCGTCCTTCGCATCGGAAGTCGGAAGTTGAAAGACGGAACCAAAAGAGAAAAGCGCTACTATACCTCATAGATCGTTACAACGGCGTTTCGAGACAAGCTCTATAGGGAAAAAAAAAAAAAAAAAA